ACTGACTCTTTTTTAAAAACCTTTTGGACTCACCTCTCATTACTCATACATGAGTATGTGTCATGTTTTATTCTCTCTTATATTTTATTGTGAAGAAACTCAATCCTTCCTGGATTCAAGGAAGCCTGATTAAATTGAGTCCTTTTAAAACATTTATTTATTTACAAATATTTGGGCTGGGAAAAGGTATGCATAAGAAGGGGTCCTTTCTACATTAATCTTGTTGCGACCAACAGAGGGACGTGTCAAGTGAGGAAAGGGGAGCCAAGAGCATAATCATTTAGGGGTGTCCCATCTGCAATCATAAGTCATGGACTCTCGCCCAGGGATCGGTTGTAACAGAGGACAGAGGAACAATATCCTGATACGTCTGGGTTGAATAAATGCTTCAACTTTGATGAAGTGTATTTTTCCCACCTCTTTGCCATTTCTTGTGAAAAACACAGTTGCCATTCCTCTATCAAAGGATTCTGGGTGGACTCCACAACCAATTCGATCACCCGTAAAACACTTAGGTCCAAACTGCTGACCCACCTCATTTCCATTAAACAACCTACAGAATCAAAAATAATCAGTTCATTAAAAACTGAGCTCAGATTCTTTATAATCAGAAAATGCATGTACACATCTTCAACATGAAATTAATATTGCCACACAACAGGCCTCATTAGAGGCTGGGCTTCAAATCATACAAGTTCACTGCTCTCAAAGAACCAAGATTTAAGAATGAATAAAAGACCGTTCTTTTATTCTTTTTTTAAAATGAGTGGAAAAAAACAAAATTCACGTAAGTACAGAAATACCGTCCAAGAAGAATACAGGGTTAAGCTCTTCGTCCACCTTTTTCTTCGATTATTTCTCCTCGCATTTCATAGAATCATAGAATTACTACAGTGTGGAAACAGGCTACCCGGCCCAACAAGTCCACACCAACTCTCTGAAGAGCACCCCATCCAGATCCATCCCCTCACCGCATCCCTGCAACCCTGCATTTCCCATGGCTAATCCACTAACCTACACACTACAGGTAATTTTAGCATGGCCAATCCACCCTAACCTGCACATCTTTGAACTGTGGGAGGAAACCGGAGTACCCGGAGGAAACCCATGCAGACATGGAGAATTGGTGTGTGGAGTTTGTACAGTCGCCCAAGGTTGGAATTGAACCTGGCTCCCTGGTGCTGTGAGGCAGCAGTGCTAACCACTGAGCCACCGTGCCATCCCAAAGAGACCAGAGCCTTAATTCAGCACCTTAGACCGTTCGGCCATGCTACTCAGATCAATCCATCTGCATTGTGCAATTTGACAGATGACATGGAAACGGTGAGGCTGTTATTCATGGTAATGTCACTGGATGAACAATCCAGAATGCCAGGCTAATGTTCTGGGGACATGGGTTTGAATCCTACTGTGGCAGTTTGTAACATTTCAATTCAATAAAATCTGGAATTAAAATTTAGCCTAACGGCAACCATTGATTGTTTTAAGTACCCATCTGGCTCATGAACATCCTTCCGGAAAGAAAATCTGCCTTGCTTACCAAGTCTGGTCTACATGCCTGACTCTTAAGTGCCCTTTGAAATGGCCAAGCAAGCCAATCAAAGCAAGAAAATTAGGGTGGTAGTGAGAAGTGACTGAGGAGGATTCCGGGAGAGGTCGGCTCGCTCACCAAAACTGAGAAGGGGAGGTACCTGGCAGGTGAATTTCAAGGCAGAAAAATGTGAGGTAATGCATTTTGGTTGGAGAAACAGGGAGAGACAATACAGGCTCAATGGTAAAACTTCGAAGTACGTACAGGAGGAGGCGCCCCTCGGGTTTCAAGCGCATATTTCTCTGAAGGTGGTTAGGCAAGTTGAAAACGTTGTTAAGAAGGCTTATAGGATCCTTGGGTTTATAAATAGAGGTATAGAGTATAAAAGCAAGTAAGTGATGCTACACCTCTACAAATCATTGGTCAGCCCACATTTGGATCATTGTGTTCAGTTCTAGGCACCTTATTTAAGGAAGGATATTAAAGCCCTAGAGAGAGTGCAAAGGAGGTTTATTGGAATGATGACAGGAATGATTTTAGACACAAGGAACCATTAGGGAAATTGGGCTTATTCTCCTTTGAGCAGAGAAGATTAACAGGTGACCTTTTTGAAGTTGTTCAAAATTATGAACAATTTTGGCAGGGTATAGAGGATATTCTGTTTCCACTAGTTGGTACTTCAGTACTCGGGGTCACAATTTCAAGGCTGTCAGCAAGAAAGAGCTAGGAGTGAGGTGAGAAGAAACTTCTTTCCTCTCACAGTCATTACGATTTGGAATGCGTTGCCTGGGAGAATGGTAGAGGCAGATTCCATACAAAGTTTCAGAAGCGAGCTGGCTATGTATTTTAAAGTGACGTATTTAGAGGGCTACAGAGATAAGGCTGGAGAATGCGACTAGCTGGGTAGTTCTTTCGGGAACCAGTACAGACACAATAGGTCAAATGCTGTACTGTAAAATTCTATGATTCTACGAAAAGAAGAACAGGCAGGGCCAGGTTAATGAACACAGCAGGCCTGGTGGTCTAAAGTGTATTTATTTTAATGCAAGGTGTATAACAGGTAGGGTAGATGAGCTTTAGATTTTGGGTTTGTACATGGAACTATGACGTTGAAGCCATTACATAAACTAGTTTGGGAGAAGGGCTGGACTGGCAGTTCAATGTTCCAGGGTTTAGCTATTTCAAGTGTGAGAGAGAGAGAGGGTTGTAAAGGGGTCGGGGAGTTGCATTACTGATTAAGGAGAATGTCACAGCTGCACTAAGAGAGGACATCGTGGAGGGCTCATCCAGCAAGGCCATAGGGTAGAACTCAGGAATAAGAAAGGTACAATCACTATGATGGGGTAATACTACAAGCCTCGCAATAGCCAGCCGGATTTAAAGGAACAGATATGTAGGCAGATCTTGGAAAGATATAAAAAGTAACAGGGTTGTTGCAGTGGGTGATTTTTTTTTTAAATTTCCCTAGTATTAACAGGGCTTCCTTCATGCCAGGGCCTTAGATGGGGCAGAATTTATTAGGTGCATCCAGGAGGGTTTCTTGAAATAATATGTAGATAGTCCAACTAGGGAAAGGGCTGTATTAGACCTTACATTGGAGAATCAGCCTGGCCAAGCGGTCAAAGTTTCAGAGGGGGGGCATTTTGGGAAGAGTGATCATAATTCCAAAAGCTTTAAAGATAGTTATGGATAAGGATAACACTGGTCCTCAGGTGAAATTGAGGCGAGGCTAATTACAACAGTATTAAGCAGGAATTGGAGAAATGAGATTAGAGGCAGCTGTTTGAGGATAAATCCGCATCTGACATATCTGTCTTTTAAATGCCAGCTGATCAGAGTTTAGGACCAACATGTTCCTGTGAGGATGAAAGATAAGGATGGCATGATTCGGCAAACCTGGACGACTAGAGATATTGAAAGCTTAGTCAAAAAGGAAAAGGAAGCATATGTAAGGTTTAGGAAAGTGAAATCAGACAAGGTCCTTGAGGAATATGAAGGAAGTGGGAAAGAACTTTAATAAAGAATTAGGAGGGGTAAAAAGGGCCATGAAATGTCCTTGGCCAGTAGGATGAAGGGGAATCGCAAGGCATTTTATACATATACTAGGAGCAAGAGGGTAGGTAAAGGGTAGCTATACTCAAAGACAAAGGGGAGAGTTTATGCATGGAACTAGAGGAAGTAGTTGAGGTCCTTAATGAGTACTTTGCATAGTTATTCACCAAAGATAAGGACATGGATGATAGCTTATGTTGCTATTCCAGGGCATGTCGCTATTAAGAAGGAGTTGGTGCTTGGTGTCTGCAAAAACATTAAGAGTGATAGGTCCCCAGGGCCTGATGGGATCTATCCCAGGATATTGTGGGCGGCAAGTGAGGAGATTGCTGGGGTCTTAAAGGAGATTTTTGTTTCATCTTTAGCCACAGACAAAGTCCCAGAAGACTACAGAATAGCCATTATTGTTTCTTTGTTTTAGAAAGGCAACAGGGTTAATTCAGGGAACTATAGACCAGTAAGCCTTATATCAGTGGTAGGGAAATTATTGGAGGAGATTCTTAGGGACAGGATTTACTCACATTTGTAAAATAATGGACTTATTAGGGATAGTCAGCACAGCTTTGTGTAGGAGGAGGAGTTGATGTTATCTACATAGACTTTACTGAAGCATTTAACTAGGTGCCTCAAGGTACATTGGTCCTGAAGATTAATCCATAGTGAGTTGGTAAGTTAGGTACAAAATTGGCTTGGTCATAGAAGACAGAGGGTAGTTGTGGAGGTGTGATTTGCTGAATGGAGGTCTGTGACCAGTGGTATTCCACAAGGATCAGTGCTAGGAACTCAGTTTGTAATATAGAAATATATAAGTGATTTGGATGAAAATATAGGGGGTTAGATTTGTAAGTTTGCAGGCAACACAAAACTGATAGAGTTGTCGCTAGTGAGGAAGGTTATCAAAGGTTGAAGCAAGATATCAATCAGTTGGAAAGTTGGGCAGAGAAATGGTAGATGGGGTTTAATCCAGACAAGTGAGGGGATGAAATTTGGGGAATCAAATGCAAGTGCAAAGTATTCGATAAACGGCAGGACTCTTAGGTGCACTGATATACAGAGGCATCTTGAGGTCCAAGTCCATGGCTCCTTGAAAGTGGCAACATAAGTGGATAAGGTGGTAAAGAAGGCATACAGCATGCTTGCCTTCATTGGTCGGGGCATTGACAATAAATGTTGGTAAGTCATTTTGCAGCTGTATAAAACTTTAGTTTTGGCCACATTTGGAGTATTGTGTGCAGTTCTGGTTACCACATTACAGGAAGGCTTTGGAGCGGGTGCAAAAGGAGTTTACTAGGATGTTGCCAAGATTGGAGTGTTTTAGCTATAATGAGAGGCTGGATTAACTTGGATCGTTTTTGTCGGAAGCTGAGGAGTGATCGGACAGAAGTAGAGAAAATTACAGATAGGTGGATAGTCTTTCTGATTATAGTCTTTTTGAATATACTCGGAGTCCTTTTCTCAGGGTGGAAATGTCAAATACTCGGGGGCATAGGTTTAAGGTGAGTGGGGGAAAGTTTAAAGGAGGTGTGCGAATCAAATATTTAACACAGAGGGGTAGGTGCCTGGATCGCGCTGCCGGGGAGGTGGTAGAAGCAGACACGATAGCAAAGTTTAGGAGGCATTTAGACAGATACATGAACAGGCAGGGAATAGAGGGATACAGATCACGTGCAGCCAGATGGCATCAGTTTAGAATGGCAACGCGTTCAATGCAGACATAGTAGGCTGAAGGGCCTGTTCCTGTCCTAGCAATCACGACCATGACTGAATTAATTGGGACTCTTTCAGCACTGACCATGCCGGTGCATCACTGAGAACCAGCACTCAATCACTTCCCCACAAGTTATGGGTTAGATACAGAGCAATGCTCCTGCTACACTATTCCCAACAAACAGTCCTCAGACAGGGACAGCAAGGGGTTAAATACAGAGTAAAGCTTCCTCTGCTCTTTTAAACTGAAGGTAAACCTCTGCTCTACTCTTTTAAACTGAAAATAAACTGAAAATAAAGTTCTCTCTACCCTTTTAACGTGAAAGTAAAGCTCTTTCCACACTGTTCCCAGCAAATACTCCCATGCCAGCTATAGCAGAGCGTTCTCTGTAGATTAAAGCCTCTTCGAACATGACCCCATCAAAAACAAATGTTGGGATACATTCAAGAATCCTAAGTAAAACGGGGCAAGAAATAGTGCACGCTCTTGAAATTGTCGGAGAGTTTTTTTTAAAAGAAGGTTGGTTCATCGGCCAATGGTGGTGAGCCACTTTCTTGAATTATTGAGGTCCGTGTAGTGCTGGAACATACACTATGTTGTCGGGAGCAAGCTCCAGGATTCTGACCCAGCAACAAATAAGAAACAGTGATATAGCTCCCGATCAGGTTGGAATGTGAGGAGAATTTGTAGGTGACGGTATTCACACACATGTGCTGCTCTTGACTTTTGAGGAGTAGGAAATAGTGGGTTTGGAAGGTGTCTGAAGGAGTGCTGGGGAATTGTTGCAATGCATCTTGTAGATGGTACACGCTGCTGCTAGTGTGGATACGTGGCTAAGGAAGTAAATGTTCAAAGCGGTGGATGTGGTACCAAACAAGAGGTTTGGGTGGTCCTGAATGGTGTCAAGCTTCTTAAGTGTTGTTGGAGCTGCACTCAACCAGTCAAGTGGGGAGCCTTCCACCACACCCCTGATTTGTGCCTAGTGGACAGGCTTTGAGGAGTCACGGTGGCTCAGTGGTTAGCACTGCTGCTTCATGGCACCAGGGACCTGGGTTCAATTCCACCCTCGGGTGACTGACTTTGTGGAGTCTGCACATTCTGCCAGCGTCTGCATGGGTTTCCTCTGGGTGCTCCGGTTTCCTCCCACAG